TGAAAAATAACCTGTATTTACTGAATTCCGAATAGGTATTTGGATTACTTTGTCAAATTAAAGTACTGCTGTGCTACTTATCTCCCTTTCCAGGTGCAAGCAGTAGTGTTCACTAATATTTTGCAGGGTAAAAATGAAGAGTATAATGGGTAGTATTTCATGCAAAAGGAAAAAAATATTTACAGAATAATGGGGTAGCACAAATCTTTTGAAAAGTAATATCAACTACTGTCTCTCATAGTGTGCTGCTGCTGAATAGTAGATAGTTCCATATTGCTGATATAGGGAAGTGAATTTTATGTAAATGCACTAAAATAATGGGATTTCCTAATCCTGACTGGTGGAAGAAGCTTTTCAAGCATATTTGCTAAAGTCATAGTCAATGTCATTAGTCATAGTCAGTGACATTAGAAATGGCGTTTCTGTAAGAAAAGAAAAATGAAAAATACAGTTTCACCGCTATAAAAAACAGTTGCACTATTTCTAGCTAATTCTGAAAACAAAATGTGGGACTTTACAGGACGTAATATATATCGTAAATGTTGAAATAATTTGGTTTAGTCAATGCATTCCCAGTATAAAATTTGTCTGAGCAGAAGCCTCTCCTCGTTTATTCTATACATGTGTTAAAAAAAAACCCAAACCTTGAATGGAGTAAAAACCTGTAAAAAATGTTAAGAATTTTTCTAGGTTATTAGCATTTTTGTGAGAAAACCTGAATAGAATTGGAAAAAAAAAACCCACAAACTTCTATGATCATTCAGTTTTAAAACCATGTTTATCCAAGGGTTTTGATCTTTGGGGTTTTGTGGTTTTATGCATCTTGATTGAAGCATTTCCCATAGTGTCACCATCTGTAATGTGTCTCTTCTGAGTGTATTCTCTGGTGCCTAATATTATAGTTACACCTACTTTTCAGTCCTTCCATCAATTACCACACCACTATCAGTCTATCCATTCATTCCACCATGCAGTCTCACAGATGTTAGTTTTCTGTCAAATTTAGTTGACACTGGCTAGTGATTTCAACTGATGTCAAAGGAGGGTTGATAGACTGTGAGGGAGGACAAAGCTTCATCATCCAGCTAAGTGTTCAAACTTCTCAGCAACATTTTTACCCATTGTGTGATGTGATGTGTGACAGACATCACGTGTATAATCTCCCAGGAATAAAAGCTAAGTGGTGTGACAGATTTCTAAGGGTAAATATGTTTTAGCTGTTAACAAGGGAGAATTTTCAGAAACATCAAAACAACCAGATACCGGACCCACATTTTCAAATTTGACCTCTAGTTCTGTATTCATATCGACACTTAAATGATGTTCCAGAAGAAGGTAACCCTTGGATAATGTGCTGGGATATTGAAAAGTTCATCCTGTAAAAAAAAAACAATGGGCCATATTGGTTTTAAAACAGAATGTGGTATGTGCAGCAAAGATTATATATGTACATGCTTTTGAAAATTCAGCTGTGTAGTGAAATAGCCTACGCATTCATGACATAAATAGAGGAACTATATGGCTTTCACACACACATAAGACTTCTTCGCCTTCTATTTTAAAAATGTTAACCAGTTTAGTTAAAAATCATTCAGTTGTGTCATTCTAACCAGTTGCAGCCAATCTGATTAGGTACAGCAGATATTTTCCTGGCAAAATCATATCAAGCAAGTTTGCCAGTAGGTAGTTTCTACAAATGTCTTGAAATTCTCAATTTTTTGGAAAACATAGGCAGCTTTCCCTGAACCATCAGTGGAGGGGCACTGTCCCAGCAAACAAGTTCCATTCACAAGGGATCAGGGGGTCTGTCTATGCTTCTGCTATTTTTTATGTTAGTTTTCATAGATATATATATCCTCCTTTTTTTATCCTGATATTTTTGCATGATTGTTTTTAAGCTTGTTCACTCAGAAGGTGAACAATCAGAAGCGTGTAATGGTAGAACATACTGAGATATAAATGAATAGAGCATGGTTTTACATGAAAGGGCTTTTGCCAGGTTTTCTACTGAAGTGTGCAGATTTAAAGCTGTGGATCAACGCCCTGCTCTATGCACACTCAGTACTGGGTCACAACGTAGTGACAGTGACAAACTCCTGAGCGGCCAAGCCCACTTAAAAATACTGTATGGAGGCACTCAGCAATAAAGGACGATGCCTTCAACAGGCAAGAGCTACCAAGGACTTTTGAAGACTGATGACCAATATGGAATATCACTTTCCACTATGCATCCTAATGTGTGCTGCGCAGAATTGCCGCAAGTGTCTCTGGTACAGGGAGTGATGTAACGTTAGTTTGGTTCTCTGCTATAGCTTGTGTAGAGTTATTCCCAGCAAGATTAATTTGTGTGAGCTCCTCAGCTAGAAATAACTTGCTCACAACTGGCTTAGGTCTCCAAGATATTGTGAACATATATCTGGTATTGGAAAGCTCATAGCAGCTGGCATTGCTTCGGCAGTTTCCTCAGCAATACCAAAAAATTCAAGCTGCATGATGCAATTACTAGAAGCAGTGGGAGAATATTTTATTTCTTCAGTCTCATGCTCTTTTATGGTCTTTTAGCCAGTGGCTCACTGTTATGTCATTCACTTCATGAAGGACAGCCCTCTGTTTGTTAAATGGATGGCTTTTAAGTTTTCTTCCAGGATAAAATTCCATAGATGCAAAATCTCTAACCATCTGAGTGATGTGATGTGTTTTTCCTGTGCCCAGACTAATTGCAGAAGAGAGCTGACAGTTGTAGAGGTGCTTTAGGATGAGTCACTACTTTATTTATTCTTTAATAGTTTTGCCCAAATTTCATTGTTTTTCTCTGCTGCTCAGTTGCAGATTTTTGCCTAGTTTTTCTTGATGTTCTCAATTTTAAATCTCTTCCAACACTGCAGCTCTCCAAATTTTTCCTGTTACCATCCGCTGATTTTTTTTTACCCAAATATTATTCTCTTTTCTAAACTGAATCTCATTGCAATATTCTGCCTGTGTTTCTAATCTTCCTGTGACCCTTTGTATTATTTCTCCATTTTCAGCAGTGTACTCAGCTCCTCCTAGTTTAATGGATCTGCAGATTTCATTAATGTATCATTTACTCCCTCTTCTAGCTCATTATTGAAGCTATTAAATGAGATCAGAAGTAATACTAATCTTTGTGTACTGCACTAAATGCCTCCCTTCAAAGTTATTGTTTATCATTACCCTTCATTGTTTGTCATCACCCTTCATTTCAGTCAACATGATAGTTCATTTCCAATTTGATTTAAGTTTGGGAACAGAATTTTGACACATTGAAGATGGGAAAAGAACTGCTAATCAAGAACCCAGCAGAGGCTTCTAATTAAGGCTCAGTTTAGAAGATCAAAGTTAGGAGTCTTCTACTGCAGCCACAGTGTAAGGTGGAAACTGACTCCATAACTTAATTGAGAACACCTTCAGCTCAGTGCTAAAATATCCTAAAGAAAACAGCATACTGCTAAAATTCAGACATGTGACAGTATAGCTTCTACTCTCTATTCATTAATTTTGTATTACTATTAAAAAATCAAGTTTGTCTGGCAGACTTCAAAGTGTTTTAGCAAATTTGTTTTCTCAATAGCTGTTCCATTATGTTGCCAGGGAAGGCAGCTAAATTTATGAGTAGCAATTTCAAAGATAACTCACAGAATATGTGAACTTCTATCTTCAGCTGTTTCAGAGACGTACTGTCTTGCTTCCAAAGTAGCTATAGCCTCCTTCTTTTCCTGCACAGTGTAAAATTTCAGCAAAGAGATTTTAATTTTCACAACCCCTTCAAAAATTAATTTCTAAATTCCATAGTAAATAATCCTAAACATATTTATAATCTGTCATTAGGAAACATCGATTCCGTCAGGACAAACTCATTTTGACAAGATGCAATTCCTCTGATGATAATGAATCCCACATGATTTAAGGGCCCAACGCCAAAGCCTGTTCATCCTTTGCCTTAATATAATACCCAGCATTTTATAGTGTTAGGTTGCCAACCTTTAGCATCAGGTCCAATTAGTCTTGGTCTTTTTTGACTTGCCAAAAATATAGTTATCCAAGTACATTTGGATATCCAAGAGCTGCTCGGTTTTTCCTAGGAATACTTGGCTTGAACTCATTTAGTTATGTACAGTCTGTGTCAGTTCAAATGTAAAAATTCTAAACCTAGTATGGAAAAGATGTACCTCTGGGTAGAACTGAAATCTCTTATAGTTGTGTACTTACATGTGTTGAACAAAAGAATGAGACAGTGAAATACTGAAATTCAGGTTGGGGTTGGGTTATTTGTTAGATGTATGGAAAATTATCAGAGTAAGAAGGTGGGTACATCCTAAGGGCCATGACATGCTCTAAGTCTAATGGAAATGTAATTGCAAGTCCCACTACTGCAATAAGGAGGGGGTTCATGAGTCCAGAAATACAACCAGAAGTGGGGTCACAAATCTAGAAATTGGGTTGCCAGAAGAGATTGAGATTAGCTGCTCTGAATTTTGAAGCTCTGCATCTTTCAGTATCTGCCTACTTATCTGACATAGCCTGCTATCTCATTACTGTGGATCTGCCTTAACCTCGGAGGCAAATTTTGTTCACTCTTCCCCAGACTGCTTATGGAATATTTTCCTCCCACTCAATCTCTCCTAAAACCCATCTCTGTCTCCGTTGATTCCTGCTAGGGAATCAGCAGTGACACTTTTTAGCCTTGTTTTTATGGTTAAGCATTTTTATAAAACTTTTTATTGGGTTTTTATTGCTACTATCTCCTGTCTGCTCCTCTCCCCCTATTATTGAGTTACATATTTATTATATTCTTGTGAAATTGAATCGTATGATTTTCTGGGAGAAGATTTAACATCACTTACATTTCCAAAGGTACCTACCAATAACATTTAATGATGTAAAAAATATGCATTATTACTCTGGTTCGTTAATACCTCTTAATCATGATTTAAGGTGTCCCTGATGAGTTTTGCTGTTAACTGTCCAGCACTTACCTTCTTGCAAATGAAAGCCTGAGGAGACTGTTTCAACCAGAGAACATTAACTAGTCCATTGCACCAATTTTTTGGTCATCTGTATGAAACACATAAAAGATATGTGTTTGCCTAAACCATGTGCCAGCATGTGTTTTGGGAGCAAGTTTGTAGGTTGTGCCTCATTTCCCCCTTTGTTCCTTTGTATTCAAGGGGCTTTTACCTTTCCTTTGAAAGACACTTGAGGAAATGCAAGCCTGCTGTGAAAGCCTGATTTATTTTGCATTGCATCTGCACTGTCTGGTTCTGCAATGTGCACTTTGGAATTAAATCAGCTTCTCTGCATCTCTACAAAGGATTTTTTTTTCCTAAGAAGTTGACTCATTCATTGTGTGTATTTCTGGCAAAAGTATGTGCATTGACTGTATTAGTGTTTTTTTCTGTAAACGTTAAGGTTTGTCTTATTTTTGTTATCAAAGAAAATATCACTTCCGTGTATAATGCTTTGCAGGAGTAGGTCCTCCCCAGGAAAGGTTTCAAAATCAAAAGAGTGCAAGAAAAGTAAACAAGAAGAAAAAATAGTAGTGATTGTACGTTATTTCCTAGCAGTCCAATAAGTGCCGATACTGACCTTGGGCAAAAGGGCTGTGAATATAGTAGTATAATATATAGGGAAAAAACTTCTCTAAATCCCAAACCCCCCAAAAATCTCAGGAGTGCCATCTAGTGTGCCAGGTGTGTCAGTTTTCTAGGAAGGGACAGTAAACTGCCTTCAGCCCATCCCACTTGTTACAGTCATACCCTGACTGTCCTCCTGCTGCTGCTCCCTTCTCAGCTGCTGACAGGAGAGCAGTAACAGCATTGACAGAAGGTAGAGGAAGAGACCTGAGGGCTGTTTTGCAGATGCTGATTCTGGCACACATGCCATAAGGTTGTCACTGCTGCTCTAGAAAAAAATGAGCATCCGTGGGATTTTAAAGAAGGAGAAAGATAGCTGTTCTGTCTGTACTCCCATACTAATCTTCCTCTTTGACTCATTGGCTAAACATGTCATGGCTAAAACATCCTTTCTCACCTACTGCAGGGGACTTGTTTTGCTGTTGGGAGAGAAAAAACACAGATTTGATGCCAGATTTTTGAAGCTTACTGAAAGGGGTGGAAATGATTTTGCCTGGTGGTTAAAGGATTTATGTTGAGTAGTGGGTTCACAAGGTGCTTTGGGTAGGAGGTAGAAAGTGAGAGGGAAGTGAAAGGGAACGGGGATCTGTCCTGTGTACTAATGCTTTGTACTAGGCGGAGCCCTTTTACCGTGACCACCCCAGGCTTTTCCACTGCTGCCTTTCCCACTTTCACTGTTAGCTAACGGAACCTCTCTGCTTTAATCCTCACATATGCAAAGTGCATAGCTTGCCCTTCAGTGTGTGAAGCTGCACAGGGTTTATTTTTGTCTTCAGTATAGAATCTGCTTGTAACGAGTGATCGAGCCAGAGACCGTTGTCTGCAAATGAAGCCCGCATCTTGGTAGCATTGCATAATGCTGTGTAGTCGCCTGTCCTCTGCAGCCGGTGCCAGAGGATATTGCTTTTCCAGCTGGATTTGCTTGGGGTGCAGCTATAGCGGCATATCAAATTGAAGGTGTCAATTTTTAGCTGCCAAAGTTTTAAGGAAGTTTTAAGTGAACAGAAAGTCTGGGTCCAGGAAGGAGAGTGTTTGATCTTTGCCTCTTTACGTAGATGCTACATCTGATGCAAATCCATGTAGCACTTCTGTTTGAACACTTCTGGCCCGAGTAGGAAGAAGAGCATAAAAGATGCTTCAAATTGCAGAAAGATGGCTAGGTAATGGAAATAAAGGAGGAACCTTTCATTAGCATTTGGGGGGGGAGTGGGAAGGGAGCAGAAAAAAGTAATTTTCCCACTAGTTCTTGAGTATTTTCTTTCTCTAGAGCTAATTTAAGTAGATTACTATTGACTGTTCCAAAGCTGGATGGGAGCACTACCTCATCAGGCATTGGTATTCACAGAGGGTCCTCAGTTAGGAATTATCTCCAAGGAATATGAAAAATGGTGAACTGAGATGTTAACACTTGGGCTTGTGGAGTCCCTCCCCCAGGGACATGTCATGAATGACTGAATGAAGGCGCTGATAAAATGATTTGCCCAGCATGGTATGAAAGTATGTGACAGAGTAGGGAGTGCAAACCCATAAGGTACAGAGACACCTACAGCCATAACCCCCCAACCTTAATCCCATCATAAATGTGTGTTTAGAGACCTTTAAAATACATATAGATCTGATTTTCTCATATTATACCCTGCAGCATACAGGCACTTAGCTCCCATTGATTTCAGTACCTAAATGGGAGTTGTAGATCTAAAATTGTCTTTAAGGATGTAGCCTTTAGTTCTTGGTTATTGCTGAAAGTGAGCATACTTGCCCATGCTTGGTACCTTTTAACGAGCTCAGTTAGCTTCACCTAATAGACTGAACAGCTTGCTGTTCCGGGGGAATCAATATTCTGGGCCAGATTCTAACTCGAGTCCTGCAATACACATAGCTCTACTAACTAATTTTTAAAATGTGAATTGTGTGTGCATATAGAATGGCATTATAATTTCCTGCCTTTTGAGTGGCTAGATGTGCAACTTTAATGTTCTCTTAATGTATTTTTAATGAGCTTTCCTAAGGCTCCTGAGTGGGAGAAACATAAAAAAATCTATAATGTGGTCTAGACACTACTCAAATGACCCTTTTCCCACAGAAGCAAGAAACTCAACAGGGAATTCCTTCTCCTGAAAGCTTTGGAAGCTGTGCAGCTTCCAACTTAAAGGCAGCATGATTGAAGCAATAGTTCTTGTAGAGTCCAAACTCAGTTGCTGCTCATATCACAAGATAAACAGTGGATGAGGCAAGGGCTGACAGGCTACTTTATTTTTTACTGTCAGCTATGTATTTATGCACAGTGCAACCTTCTCCACTCTGTATATTTCAAAGGGCTAAAAAAATCATACCAATTGTACTCTGTATGCTCAAAGTGCAGATTTCAAAGGTTCATGACTCAGTCAAATCAAAATCAATTTGCACCAGAACACTCAAAAGCACTTCTTCTTACTGAGGGCCATTTCTATGCTAAATTTCAACTCTCTGCTTGGTTGTTTTTTTTTTTTTTTTTTTTGGAGAGAGAGGGAAAAGTTGCAAAAAATTCTCGTAATGGTAAAAGTGGTTTTCTTCATTTCTTTCATATGCCAACTAGTTGAACTGCATTAATTCAAACAAAATTTCACCTTTTGGGCAGAGATCAGGCCAAGAAAATTTCACTCTGAAAGGTGAAATCGCAACTGAGTTAGAAAAAAAATTAACTTTGAAAAGTAGATGAAAACTTAAATCCCCTGATCAGTAATATTCCTGCTTCAATAGCTTCAGTTAAAAGGAAGAACATTCTATCTCACCCCATTGTAATAACTGAAGAAAATGGGGAACATGCATCATGTTTCACGATAATTTATATTAAGCATTTGATGACATGTTATGTGGTGATTTGGTAGCTAAGTCTCACCCATGCATTTGAAATGTAAAATCAGTTCATCATCACTGTTCCTTCCTGGCCCCCAAGCTCACTAAAACTCAGGGTATGTCTACACTGTGAACTGCTGTGTAGCATGGAGGTTTCCAAGCAAGCTTAGAGGTACAAGCTCAGTTCTTCAGCAGG